AGAAGCTGTTGTTTAAGAGGACCATAGAGATATAATTGGTGATTGCAGGAAAGAAGAACAGGAAGCAGACAATGGGATTTATGTCTGCATATGACTTGATATGTTCCTTCAGCTGCAGCATCTTTTGAGATAATCTACTTGTTAAATGACATGTCTAGTGTGAGCACAGTAAGTGAGGAGTACTTAGATTTTTTTTTTTTTTTTTTTCATGATCTACAGTCTCTACATAAAAGTAGCAGTTCCAACTGAAGCAGGATACTTGTCTTGGAAGTAGAAAAGGTTAAGTCAGGTGAATCTTTCTTCTTTCTGTATAACTAGTTACCCTTTGAATACAGAGGTATGTGGGACCGATGACAGTCAATTTGAGGAGCTCTGTTGGAAACTGAACTGACCATATAATTTTAGTGAAAATACGGACTTTTCAAAGTGCTTTATACTTTTATGTATCAATAATAAAAATAAAGAAAATTCCGTAGTGTAGGAAGAGACTGACATAACTGAAAGGACCAAAAAGCACAGGATCAATGATTTTGTGCCAAAAGGAGTACAGCAAATAAAATAATCTTTAAAACTGAAACATAACACTTACATTGTTTCCTCAAAGGAGATAAGGGATAAGTCTGTGTTGCTTCAAAACCAATCTTGTGGGCAATGAAGGTAGCCTACAAGATTAGGCATATCCTCCTGGGCACACAGAGGTGGGCATGATCAAGCATAACTTGCCACCTTTGCACAAATTGAAAAGGAAGACAACAGGCGGCCTGCAGCTGCTAATGTGGCAGTCATACAGAGAAAAAGTGGAGGTTAACAGTGAGGTAGGAGGAGCAGGGAGGAAATGCAAATACAGGAGGCTAGAAATAATTAATCTCACCCAGAGCATTCCTGAAATACAAACAATATTCTCTGAAATTCAAAAGCGCAAAGAGACCTATATCATTAGAGCTCTTTTTTTTTTCTTTTTTTTCTTTTTCCTCTCCGCCTCCCCCAACCCCATTGCACAAGAACACATCATTTATGTCTTGAAAGTGAATTATTCTGTGGTGGCATACTCATGCCTGTTCAGTTATTCCGCTTATAATTTCAGCCATCAGCATGAGCGCTTGCATTTTCAGAGCTATCAATATTCAAATCTCTACTCTGGCAGGCTTTCTGCAGTTGAGTTGCTCTGTCAGGTCTTATGCAGGACTGAATAGGATCCACCCTAAGGTGAACTAAGGTTCTCACAAAGACAATGCATAATGAAGGATGACTACTGGTGAATCTATCACTCCTACACTTTAATTTGGAAAGCCAGCAGAATCGCACTGGGAACAAGCATCTTCCTGACAGGTTTCACAATCAGCCTCTGTAGGCTGATCACACAAAAGCAAGGGCTGTCCCCTAAGGCCTGCCTGCTGGTCTAGAACCAAAAGCTGGCTTGCCAGCCTTTCAAATAAGGCGTTCTGTCTATTTTCCACAACAGGGATGTATAAAACATTTGTACTTGCATAAGTAAGTTTCTTAAAATTCCCGGGTCATATACAAAAGTTCAGAGACTGCTCTGATGTTGAGCTTTCAATGTATTTGCACCCCAAGGTAACCTTAGATAAGATTTTAGGTATGTTTATAAGGAACTGAAAATAAAATCTTAGTACAGCTGTATGGGTAGAATATATTTGTATGTTACATTTTCCATTTCATATAACATCCACTTTTGCATACTAAGAGAGGGTACTGAGAAAGATATTTCTACAGAGGTTTGTCAAGCCACTTCCAGTTGTAAGATAACATCTTTCATATAAGTTGTAGAACAAGATAAATTCCACAGTAAACTGGATTTCTACCTCTTCTGCATTGTTTTGCTTTGTGGGACTCCTAATTTTTGACAGAGGATTGCAAACCTCCTTCACTTTCCTGTTCCTGACTTTTTTTTTTTAAAACAAGATTTCTGCAAAGAATATGATATGTTCTAATCATTGCTCTGTGCAGTAGAATGCTCTGTAACAGGCTACTGCTTTTGGATTTTTAGGTCAGAAATCTTTAATTCAAATGGACTTTGGTATTCTTTTTCACTGGTATCAGGACAATGACAACATGTCGTTTTCTTAAACTATAATGTATCTTCCACTTGTATGTGTGCATTTTTTCCTTCATTGATTTTTGTGCGTGGTGTTGTCCTGGAAAAAATATTCCTCGTAAATATGATAGTCTGAATCACTGGAATAACTAGATGGAAATTTCCTTCTGAAATATTTGGTGAAAAATTACTATTTTGGCCTTTTTATTTAATAGAAGTAGATACAATCTGAAGCAAAATTTCTTTTTTCCTGACTATACTATGTAATAAAAGTACAATATTGTATCACTAGCTTTATGGTTAAGATGAAATGTGATTATAAATAATGTGTTTGGTTTATGTTCAGTTTCAAGAACCTCTGTGTGCCTGTCCAGCAGTATTAATTTTAATGTGTTCACATTGATCAGAGTGAAGATTGCTATGGAGAGATAAGGAAAATGTAAAACTATTTAAGATAATTATGAAAATTAGCATCTCCTCTACTAAGATGTATGTTCGTGGTACCTTTCTAAAATACTGCATAACTGAAAGCTGTGTTTGAACTAACTTTATAGTGTATACATTTCAATTAATATACAATCTATTTACAGTATACAATGTGTTACCGCTCACTCTGGAGCTTAGAGATCGGCACACAAGTCTTACGTCCTCAGATGTACAGCTACAAATATTAAACTAATAGGGTAGTATTTTCAATGTGAAAGTGAGTTTTGGAAATAGGCTAGAATTTACAAATGCATTAAAAGAAAAGCAGGTGATATTTTTAAAATTGCTTCTGGAACTGAAATATTTAAGTTTCAGAATAAAACTCTGCATGTAAATATCTCGTATGTTGTTTCACAGCCTTCTTAAAAATATAACTTTGTGTATCCAGCAACTTTTCTGCTCAGTGCTCAGGTTTAACATGGTATGCTTTAAGAATGGATGCTGCCTACTCGCACAGCATTCACATGAAAATGCGAAGAACACATCATGTGCAAAGTGGCACAAAAAAACCTTTAGAAACCTTTCCCATCTTATTCTGCCAAAGTTTACAAATTGTTCCACCCACCCATACTGAGTATTGAACAGGAAAAGACAGAAACAAGAGAAATGAAGATAAGCACTCTTTGCTTCTACATTTTTTACAATTCATTATAATAGCTTCAAAATTAATTGTACTTCATTGTTATAGGAAGACTAATTATTGTGTTTATTGTTTAGATGAATTCTGGTTCTCAGATGGGTCCTTATCTGATAAAGCCAAATTCAATGATCCTGGCCTGATGCCCCTGCCAGACACTGCCACAGGGCTAGACTGGTCCCACCTGGTAGATGCTGCACGAGCGTTTGAAGGTAACAGGAAAATTTGAATAAAGATCAATGTTCAGTACACAAACTTTTTGTAAAAAATATATATTGTGTAGCCACATTTTGAATTACAAAAATCCAGTGTTTGCCTCTGTAGCCCTTTAGTTCTTTTGGCAGTATCACTTCTCAGTGTGGAAGATTGTCACTGAAAATTTGGGGTATTCATGATACTTTCAATATCTATCTTAGATACAATTCATCCACTTAGGGGCCTAAGTTCCTTCTGTAATCAATTGGAAAAATCAGGGGCTTTGAAGGAGAGGCTCAAAGCATTTAAGTTAGATGTTTAAAGTGAAAATGGGAGTTACACTTCCCTGAGTTTATTGTGTTGTGTTTATAAACTTGAACGTGTAGTCCAAACGATGTTGCAATCCCTCTCAGTTTTCATAAGCCCTTGAAAAACAGCAAAAATGTACACTTTATTTTCCAGTAGCAGAACTAGAGGTGCAGGATATAGACCAGGTTTGCATTATTAAATTATAAGACCAGGTTAACTAAGAAAAAACCTCATTCACCTCTCTGAGGGCTAAACCTACACATAACGTCTAAACACAGAAAGGTGGATGTTGGATTGAGTGTATATGTGAATATATACAGTTGAATGTTTGTGTTTTATTGTTTCTGAGGGGTGTTTTTGTTAGGTCACTGTGCTGTCCTAAAATTTCCGACATTTCTTAACTGGTGTTAGTCTCATTAGTGAATGTATGGGAAGTCAGAGGTATCTGTGAATAAGGATGACATTACTACAGTTATCATTATATAAGATACAGGTCTTAACTTTATGAGGAGAACTGGTTGTGAAGTTAGTGATGAGATGTTCTGATTTTTTTAACTAAAAGCAACCATGGGAACCAGTTTTCTGGTACCTGGATTCCTTCCCTAAGTATGAAGTGGTTAAATTCCAATTTGATCAAAAGCTCTTCAGAACTACTTACTATACTAATTTAGGCGGCATTGTTAAAAACCCAACCCAACAGTGATGATTAGCAATCTAAAGTACTGTATTGTTTCTTAACTTGATTAACTGTATGTGCATTCATTACTATTCAGTACTACTCGAACATGCCTGTTGTAGCTGGCAGGAAGTACTGTGACGCCGAGAATCTGACAACTGTTCCTGTGCATTTCTATGTTCGATTGCTCAGGGAGCATCCTGCTATTTGCTATTGACACCTTAAACAACTGAAAATAGATTTGGATCAGTAAACGACTAACTCTGTAACTTTTACTGGAAGAATATGTTTAAATGCTAATAAGTATTTTGAGTTCAGCTGACTAAAAGGTCATTCTCTACCAGTTATGCTCCTGTATTTTTAGTTTTCTTTGAAAACTTTAATAGACTTTCATTATTTTTACTACTTAATATTGTGATGAAAATAATTTCACTTTGGTGAGTGTTATGTGAGCGTAATTACCGTTTGAATTTGAGAGAGAGAGGTATAACAACATAGCTATCCACAGTCCTAGGGAGGAGGAGTATTCCCTTATTGGGTTTTAATTGCAGAAATCTTAAATGTATCTCTAGATAACGCTGAAGAACTGAGTCGCAAGATAGAAACTTTTTGTTGGGGTTTTTTTGAATTATTGTAAGAATTTGAGTAGTAAACAATAATCTAGTTTTGTATGAAGGAACATAATTCTTTTCTGTTTAGGACTCTGCAATAGACACATCTGTGTATATGTTAGATGATTTATAAAATGTTTTGACTAAATTCATAGTACTGCAATTTGAAATTTTTACAAGAAATGGAATTTTTAAGCCCATGTTCAACTTTCTTAATCCTATGTCTTGCAATTTGAAAGTCATTTAAAAAAGAATAACTGATAGGCATGTCATAAAAAAATCACTGGGAGGGAATGTGTTGGATATGAATTAGAGGTGCAGTTTCCTTATGTATTTTAATGTTGTTGACTTAGGGGTTGCTTCAACTTACTATTTAAAAATAGCTTGGAACTACTGTTCTGCATTCTATCAATGTGAAAAAGAGAGTGGATGATTCTAAAGTTTGTCCACTTCTGAATATAAAACTGCTTTATCTTTTTATTAAACTGGGTGGAAATGTGATCGCATTTTATATAGGATAGTCTCAAAAAAACCCAAAACAAACAACACCTTCCCCCCCCCCCCAACCCTTCAATGAAAAAGATCACAAAATGGATAGGACTTGTTTAATACTGATTTAAGAAATTAATGTTAGAGTTGTTCTCTAGTTTGGCTTTGCCAACCTGATATTTCAAAGTTGTGTTCTGTTCTAGAACCTAGATACAAGACTTAATTTTAGTTTTTTCTTTGTACAAGGTCTTTTCTTAATATCAGTTTATTAGAATTACCAATCTGATTCTAAGGTCAGAGTTTTTCCCCTGTGATCTCTCTAGATTGTATGTTGACAACTTAGATATCTTGATCAGTTCAACATCCATAATGTGGGCCTCACAATCCTTCATCTGTCTGTCTTAAAATGCAATTGTATCTCGATTAATGTTAAATATAGCCTTTTTAGGTGCTTATAATGTTGGCATTAATTGGTTTAAGAATTAAATAAAGTAGCAAGATTTTTGCCACTATCGTCTATACTGAGAGTTTACTCATGGGTGTAACAAGAACAGCAGTCTCATTTTTTAGCTTCCCTCCTTCCCCCAAATGAACAGTTGACTAGGCTGTTTATTAATTAGTATTAGCTTTTATCCAATTGAAGCCTTGGTTCTATGTAGAAACAGCAGTTCTTAAATTGTGGTCCATGAGGGTGGAGTAAGTCGTTACTTTTTTTTTAATTGGAAAGTATGATGATAATGCGTTTCACTTTGTGAGGATTTCATTTTCACTGCTTTTGCTTGGCAAGAACTTTTGTAGGAAGCTGAATATTTACTTCGAACTTTTCCTGAAAATCCTCTGTTATTCCTAAGACAGGTCGTCACAGTGCAATGGAGAGCTGTGCAGGCGTTAACTCCACAGACTCCAGAAGCTGCATCAGTAAGGGGTTTTGCTTGAGCTGTGTCTGTTGAGGGTCAGTGTCCATAAGCTGGAGCACAGTGCAATGTTATTTTAAGTCTTCTCACTGCCTTCCTTTGCAGCACATAGTTTTGCCTCTGATATTTATCCAGAGATCATCTTTAGCGTGCATGTAGTCAGCAGCAAGGGGTATCCTTCCATTTCTTTCATACATGGATAGGCTACTTCCAGTTCCCTTCTCTTATTTTGGTGGGAGCTGCAGAGAGACAGTAACCAGGGAGCAGTTGACATGCTAGAAGTACACTGTTGTAATATTTTTGTATCCATCCCTGAAGCAAACAATAAAAAATAGATAGAACTGGATGTGACTGTACAGCAAAAGAGGTGGGGTTTTAGGGAGGGCAGTTGGGGTGAAAAAGGAGAAGTTAAAGAAGCAAAAAGAAAGCAAGCATGTTTAACTGAGTAAAGATAACGATATGGGGATTTACAGAATAAATTGGAAAGCCAAATTAGAAAAGGGAGAACAAAGAAATCTCAGGAAAGAATAAGGGAAAAGGAGAAAATGTATTCTTTAATTCTCTTTTTGTATTATCCTTCCAATAGATCTCCAAGTTAGGGAAGAAGGACTGCCTTTCAAAATGTGTATTATGTTGCTGATGGCTAGTTTTGGATCTTTTCGATGTTTTGGAGACCAAAAGGAGAAGTCTTTCTAGATGTTCGTATCTGTTACTGCCATTATAGAAGAGAATTGACACAAACATAAATATTGATTATTATTATTATGAATAGAACTTTTTACTCTTTGTGCTACTTTAAACTGGGTTTATTGTGCTTAAAAAGAGCTGGTTAGTGTTTGGTAAATCATATTGTGAGAATTAACAGCCTAAGAAAGTCCCTCTGATGTCTCTGATTTAGTTCATTAAAATAGGTGGTTTCAACTTCTGATTTTTTTCCAGGTTATTTTTGTGAAAGTCTACTAGTGCCAGTCAGAATGCAGTGTTTCTTAATGCCAATTTATCTTTGCAGAAACATCTGTGCTGCTATAATTAATATTATTTTAATACTTCCATTTAAAATCTTTATAGCTTAATGCAAGTAATGCTGCACATAACATAATGAGAAAGAAGTGAAGCATTCAGCATGAGAGATAATTATTTTAACCAAATTAGTATGTTAAATTGCTAGAAAAAGAAAAAAATGAAAATATTTAGTTAACATTTGGTCATTTCTAGTGCATGCATGTATAACTCTTTTCACTTCATTGAATATGTCAGTGGATGTTTGTGGGTAGACTTTGCCTAATAATGAGAGAGCGCCTTCATGCACTATATTCATTTTAGCCTTTTCTGCTCTCCAGTACATCAAAATTGTCTGGAGTTTTTTCTGGCCTCTGCTAGTGGTCTGGAACAATGAAAATACAGATTCAAATTCTTAGTGGTTACAACAGTACAATTCTATTACTTTAAAGTGAGACATGAATTTTGTCTCATCTTTGGTCTTTCTAAGTCAACTGTTGCTTAAACTTTTGATATAAACACCACTATATTTTTGCAAATAGTTTTCTATGCATGGGTCCTATGTGGGGTTCAGCAAGGATGTCCAGATAAAAATAAGAGCTCTGAGATTTACATGTATTTTCTTCTGTTTAGTATGCACATATCACTTGAAATGAATAAAAGGTGTCCCTGTAGTTTGGAGGAAGCAGAATTTATGTCTACAGCATCGCAGTCAGAAATACACTTGATTGTTCTTTCGAAAAATTGTCAGTGAAGGTAGCTTTGATTTCATTTTCATGAATATAGGGTCAAGCCAATTCTGTTAAGAACAAATAAACCAAAAATCAGTAGGAAGATTTTGCTCTTTGAAGCACAAGTTCAATCTTCACCACAATTCAGGTTTAAAAACAGTTCTGATTTAAATAGTAAATTGGTGAAACTATTGCTAAACGTGAATACTTAGAGGGAGATCAGTGAGATTTGATATAGTTACTGAAAATAAAAATGTGCCTTTGAAAGTACTTGAAAAGTATTCAAAGGCAAAATATTTTGCTAGGCCAGGATCTTGTTGATGTACTAGTTATTACAGAGACTTATTGTGTTACTAACTTGTTCAGAGAATGATTTTGACACTAACCTGGCTTTTGAAAATTAAGGAACTACTCTTTGAAGAGCAACACAGGAATTTACATAGTATGTTATATGATTAGAGACTTCTGGTTATTAGTGACCATGTAGTGACTTTATTCCTCACCTGATGAATGTGAGAATGTGGTCTCATATTTTATAAAGATATGAATGTTGGAAAAATATGTTTAAGTTATACTAGGAAAATAGAACAGGTTTAACAATTTATTTCCTACTCTAAGTGTTAATATTATTTTTAAATTATGTAGAGTTAAAATTCATTAGGGATTACACAAGGAAGAAAAAGTTAATCCACACATTATGCTTCATTGCAAGCATCCATGTTTTTGTATTTTTATTGTGTGTTGAAATAATATTGACAATATTTTAAAATATTGTGTTAAAAAATGGCATCATGATTTCATTAACAGCTGCATGTACCTGTTTTTGCACCTGCTTTTATCCATCAAGAAAAAGATGCTTTCAAATACTGCTGGGGAGATCAAACTGACAAAACGTTTTCTCAACAGACAAAATAAACCAGACTAGTGGCCATTCTCTTTAATTAAGCTTACTCAGCAGAGGGAGAAAAATGCAGATTTTTTTATATTACAGTAGAATTGCCTGTGAAACACAATGTCACGTCACGTATTGTTGGTCATAGAAAAACATTTGTTGCTGGCTTTGTTGTCTTCTATCAAGTGGTAATGAAAATGTGAACAGTATAAAGGTGAAATCAATAATTAGATATGTACTTCAAACTGATTGTTTACACAGTCTTATTTCTGGCCTACATACTGCGTTTGATCTGGGAAATTAGTTTTAGTTTATCTGCACTAATTAAATCTATTCAACTTAAGTTTCAAATCTGTAAATGATGTCAAATTATATTCTTACCTTTTTGTCAGCACATATGAAAAAGTCATGTTCGTATTTGCTGAGATCCATCACCAGTCAGAAATAAGGATAAAAGCAGGGAAAATGAGCTGTGGTCTTCAAAATTGGACAAAAAATGACATGCAACTTTTCTTTATTATATTATAGAATGAATTGTCAATCTTCGCTATTCCTTAAAACTATTCATTTTAAAAATCCCTTTAAAGAGCTTTTTAGTGATTTCCAATTTTTGTCTGGTGGAACTTTTAAACTGTGATTTCCTTCCTAGTTAAAATGATCTGGCCTGTATTCATTGTTTGGGTGCTTAGAGTTTGGAGGGTTGTCTTTTTATGTATCATGCCAAGTTGTCATGCTGTGTCGCAATAGTGGATATTACTATTAGAGACATGGGGCATGACACCTCATGCTTTACTGTGACGTCGGTGTTGTGTAAAAATGGTGTTGCAAGGCTGAGAATGAGAGCCAGCATGAGTTGCACGGGGAGTATTCCACTGTGTGCGCTGTTCGTGAGGGCCACAGCTGCTCCAGCAGAGATGGACTGTCTTGTTCATAGGAACATTCTAAATCTTATTCCAGGTTTTGACTCAGATGAAGAATTTGGGCCGTTCTGTCATCACACGCCGTTTCTAGGTGATGGTCTGGGATTGATGACTTTTGCCTTTTGTAAACTTTCTTTAATATTTCCTATGTTTGCACGTTTGCATGATAATGCAAGCTTCGGGCCTGTGGGGTGGTAGAGCAAAGGGAGAAAGGGCAAGGCAGGCATGTTGTCGCCAGAATTTATACAAGCCTACAGATATGGATTTTGTTTGGCAGAAATAAGTTAAATCAATCTCCAAAGAATATGGATTTTCTTTTTTTTTTTTTTTTTTGTTATAAAGAAGACAAATTAAATACTAATGAATGCATCATTTACTCCTGTTCTGTGCAATGATGATCTGCATGGCATACTTCTATTATGTGGTGACTGATGTATTTTGGCAACCACACTGTATATCCATAGGTAATTACATCTGTGCTTGTTAGATAATGTTCTAGTGGAATCCAATGTAGATAACAGCGTGCCT